GCTTGATTCACACTATACCGGTTTTCGCGCCTGGTCGACTAACCTGCACCCAACCTGAAACAAAAGCAGGCTGTCCGGGCTCGGTCAACAGAATTTCACTGACTCTGAAACCCCCGCTCCCCCGAACACATGGCCCACAATCCAAGCGTTAACACCTCCCTCCCCTCACCAGCACAACCTATCGCCGCAGGATTCACGTCACCATAACCCTCCTGCCCAATCCCACCCCGTTCGTTGTACCCTCTGCCCCAAAAACCACTAGTGCGACATTCCCAGCCCTCGCTTTTCATTTAGTCTGATGACGAACAAGTGATACCTGTTCGAAAATTCACAAGTACAACTCGATTTTCCGAAGAGCTTCTTTTTTTCATCATATCATCTCGGAATGCAACTTACTTCACTTATCCAGATTATGCAATGCCAATGGTTGTGCATGGCTGACTGATGATGACTAATAAGCCAGAAATATTCATTCAAAGCTTCCTTACCACTATCGGTAATGATAATTTGCATATACTTATAACTTTTCTGTGGCTGCTGGTGGGGCTCAAGAGTGAGTTACAGCGCACAACGCTAAGCCTCGCACAGCTGACTTATAAAGCTAAAGTTGCCGCCAAGCTAACCTTTCTGTTAGTGGTTACGGTAAGGATTGAAATTAGATTTAGGTGGCCACAGTTAGTGTTAGGATTAGGGCTAGGTTAAAGTGAGCTTCGGGGTTGGGGTTAACTTTGGGGTTAGGGTTAATGTCCAGTTATGAGCTCCAAGGGCGTTCCATCCGTTTTATCAGCGGTGCCAATTTCACCACCGTCGTTAACTATTCTACCACTTTCGAGAGAAGTTTGAAGATATTTATGCTCAGCGCTGTACCACAAGTTGTATGTTACTTAAGAATGAATTTGCGTACAAACCAACTTTCAACTTTTTCCAGTACAAGTCTTCCGTCACTTAGGTTAGAGTCTCATCGAACTGACAGCCTCCTCTTCTAATCAGTAAAGCGATCATTTCGTATGTTGCCTACAGCTCGAGTTCTCCATGATATTAATAATGAATTATTACTGTTCCCACGATTGAAGTAAGGATACCTATAGATACCTTAAGCAACACATTAGAAAACCAATGCTTACTTATTTCGTTCAATTCCCATTATCAAAGTACGAAGAGATCACGCGATACGTCGCCGAGTCGCAGTCTAGACGCGGGAACCATCACAGTGCTTACTTGTCCGGGCTTCGGCACCCGTCATGTCCCAATGGCAAGACAACGTCGAGATGGATATGGTGTCACTCCGAGTAGTGTCTCCGAGTAGTACACGCGTTGCTTCCCCAGGCAGCAGGAACCAAGCTTCAGTTCAACACTTCTTTGGTAGCGAAATATTTTCTCGACATAGGAACACCACTCATTTGGGGATCCAAGCCGCCGGCATGATTTAAAAGGCTACAGTTGATGTAGTGTTACAACTATCTTCTGTAAGAGGAACTTTTAGTATCTTCTGGCTCCTGTGTTAGGGTTCTAGTCTGTACTAAGCTTACGA